TTATAAAAAATGTGTCAACACACACACACACACACACACACACACACACACACATATATATATAGAATAAATATCAAATAAAAACATTGCTTAACATGAGAACGTGAAAACATCACATTTACCCAAACGTGTTGCACAATGAAGCTTGTATATTGCACTTTTTGTATTTTCACAATATTTACCAAAATACCACCGTGTTCATTTATATCGGCTTAATTCGAGCAAATTGAAAATGTGCAATAGAAGAGTTTCATTGTGCATCCCATTGATTTAAATGTGAGTGTTCTCATGTTTCTCACGTTAAACATCGTTCTCATTGGAGCCGCACCATATATATATATATATATATATATATATATATATATATAGGGAGTGGTTCCGGTGAGAAAGGACTCCCAGGAGAGAAATGAGAATGAATCTGGACCGTTGGATTGTATTATGTGAAATTGAATTGTGCATTTGGCAAAACTGAAATGTGCATTACGTGAAATTGAATTGTGCAGAATGAAAAATAAAACTCAAATGTGCATTACATGAAATTGAAATGTGCGTAATAAAAGGCACAAAAATGTCACTGCATCCTAATTTTTATTCTGCACGTTTCAGTTTCACGTAGTGCACATTTTAGTTTTTCGTAATGCACAATTCAGCTTCACATAATACCACTATGCCTTACATTTTGTGATGCACATTTCGATTTCACCTGATGCACATTTCAGTTTCACTTAATGCACATTCAATTTCACAGAATACAATCTAACGGTCCAGATTCATTCTCATTTCTCTCCTAAGATCATTTTCTCACTTGAACCTAATTCTATATATATATATATATATATATATATATATATATATATATAACACAATGTTATTCAATCATTTATTTAACTGACTTTTTGATTGAATTTTAAGTTGAAATTTGATGGACATGATCTACACTTCATCAATAACACCTCACAAAATTTCATCAAAAGATTTCATCCGGAAGAGGTTCCTTCTGGAAAGATATTTGTGTTTTCACCGACGAGCACTTTGTCGTAGTGCGTCAAAATAAATTCAATACTAACAGTTATACGTAGTATAGTGTAGTAGAGTTCGTATCCACAAGGAAATGAATACTTTTCTCGAGGGTTTTGGGATTGAGTGATTTAGTTAATTTAATAAAAAGATGAACGACTTAATGATTTTAATTCAAAGATAAAAAGAACCTGGTTTTGCTACTTTCCACTTGTTGATATATTTAGTCGATCCTTGTTATATCTATAACTAGCCCCTCTCGAATACTCAATCGAGGAGTATATCCAATTCATCGAGGGTAGTTATTAACAACGACCGTTCATTAATAACCCTTACTATTAATCGAATATAGAACAACGTCTTATACCGATTTAATAGTAGCATTTAATCTTTCTAACTCCTTGATGAAATCAATTGAGATGGATAACCTCAACACAACGGTTTCGGTTTAAACAACAAAATTAATCCCTCTTAAGTTTATTAACCACGACCGTGCATTAATAAACCGAAGTTACTTACTTGTGAAACCATCAACGATTAACCATCAGTTTGTTGATCGTTTCTAGTAATAATTAATATTGAGATGTTAACTAATTGTCATCATAGCAACACTCCCCAACATTAATATAGAGATAGATTAAGAGAAGAATTAATTTTCAAGGAGAGAAGTTAGGCAAATAACTCACAACTTTAATAATCAACAAGCTTCAAGAGCAAAACAAAGAAATGGAAGTTTAGCTCCTCATTTGGAGACTAAACATGCTAGAAAAATATAAAGAAATGTTGTTCTAAACTGAGCTTAAGAGTATATGTGAATTGGTGATTTTATTGTGAAGGAAAAGGGTGTGTAGATTTTTGGGAGCTGCAGAGTCTGATACCCGACCGGGTATATAGGATACCCGATCGAGTATCTTAGGAAATTTCTCAGAAATTCACTTTTCTGGGCATACCCGATCGGGTATGTCAGCATACCCGATCGGATATGTCGGCATACCCGATCGGGTATGTGACAAATCTTTAGGAAATATTGCTCCCAAGATCATTTGTTCCCTGATTTGATTTGGACAATCGAATCAAGCAAATACCCGATCGAGTATTGCCTATACCCGACCGGGTATAAGAGTAATTCTTCCAAATCAAAATCTTTCTTGTCTCCTTGCACTTTCCTTGATCTTTTGTGGTCCAATCTTGATTCCTTGGATGATCTTTGACCTATTTAGCTCAGAATAGTCCTAATCTAAATAATTTACAAATAATTATGAAAATAAAGTATTACACAAAAAATGTGTAATTTCCACAACTAGTACTAATGAAAACTAGTTAAAATTACAAATATAAACAATAACAATTCTATACTATATCATTCACCTTCAAGGTTGAGCACTCAAAAGGAGCTCAAATACTTCGTCAACAAAATTGAGCACTTTTCTCTACACATCAAGATTAGTATTTTTATACTCCCTCCGTCCCGTTGAAAGGTTTCCATAGCAAAACGGTACGGTTATTTAAGCAATAATTAAATAAAGTACTTCGAGTATATTTTGAGAAATAATTTTAATATGTATATATTATAATGTAGTTAGTATTGATAACTGTGATGTTATAAATGTACTCCCTCCGTCCCATAAAATAAGTCCCATTTCAATTCGGATCGGAGTTTAAGAAAGTGGGAATAAAGTGGAAATGTATGGTTGTAGTTGAGTACGAAAAAGGTAAATGAATGTTAGCCACACAAAACTTTCCAAAAAGGGAAATGGGAACAATTTTTTGGGACGGCCCAAAAAGGAAAATGGGACTTATTTTATGGGACGGAGGGAGTATTATTTATAATATTTAATGATTAATTTGTCACTTAAGATTGTTAATTGTTTCTTAAAATGGAAATGAGAACCTTCTAACGGGACGTCCAAAAAAGTAAAGTGGGAACCTTCTGATGGGACGGAGGAAGTAACACTGAATGATTATTTTGATTGTCAGGTATTCTTCCCCAATTATCCAAGTGCATCCTCACGCTCTAACCTATCCTCCTCTAAATAATTGAGGTTGTTGTTTCATGTTTGGTTGCATTAGGGCATTCTCATTGGGAGGATTATTATGAGATTAATTCGGTGACATGGAAGTTTTTTTAGGGAATTATCATTGAGTGACATAGATTATTTAATGAGATTATTTGCTACAATAATCTGGGATCAAAATATGAATCCGGATTATTTTAAGATTATTTGAAATATAAATGTAATAGAGATTAATGCAGGACAGAGAAAAAATAGATTATTTGAAGATGATGATTGAGAGACATAAACGAATTTTGAGATTTTTTTATAATTAATTATATAAAAATATTTAAATGGTAAGAATCATAGAAAAAATTGATTATTAGAGATCATGAATGGAGATGCTCTTAGGTGAAGGATTAAATTGGTCACTTTGAAAATGGAATAGAAATTTTAATGTAGTAAAAAATGAGGGATCAAAATAACAATTTTCCCGAGCTATAATGATTGCATCTAATGTGACTCTGTGAGATGATCAAAGATGTGGAATAGATTCGTAAGGTTTTAGATGACATCTATAATTAATTCATTTATGGCCTTTTTTGGAAAATAGCTGACATGCCATTTTTTGCTTCTTTGATTGCAATTAATGATTTTGATTACCTCATATACCTGTGAATTATTATCCTCCATCTCCTTCATTGTATGTGTGTGTGTGTTTGGCAATTCTATGACTGCAACATTGTTTGATGCAATTGTAAAACAAAATGAGTTCATTTAGGGGAGAGGCAATGTAAGAGAATTTTCATGTTAGAATCACTAATACAGTCACTCACTCAAATTAAGAATTCATATATAGACTTTAGGCCACAGTTTTGCAGAAACCTTCTATGAAATAGTATAAGATTCTCCATTTGGTGCAGTAACTTGGAGAGAAGTGCGGTAGCAGAAGGCTATTTAGAAGCGGAAATGGGGACTTATTGATGTGGCTTTTTCAATTCACATAGCAGAAGGCTATTTAGAAGCAAATTGCAATGGCCATAATGTTTTTATTGCGGGGATCAATTTACTTTCCTTCCAATTTCCTGGGAGAGAAATGAGATGAAAGGGAATGAGGGTACTTAAAAGGACTCCTCCTAGATGAAATTATATACTCCTTAATTGTTATTTCAATGTTTTGTTTTATTACATTTTATTAAAGATCAACCAACCCCCTATTTCCAGCTTCTGTGTAGTTTCTACCAGAGTAGCTCAGGTTGAGTAGCACAGGAACACATGTAGTGATCCCTCCTCCTTAACTGGATAATATGAACGCCCCCACTCAGGTATGAAGAAGAAATTAGACTAGTAAATGCATTCTCTTGATTCTCTAGATGGAAACAAAGTTAACAAACCCCAGCCATCTTTTGTTTTTCAAGCTAGAGGAGATTCTTAGAACTTATCATTGTATTAAATAAGCAAATAGAAACACACACACACACACACACACACACACACACACACACAGAGAGAGAGAGAGAGAGAGAGAGAGAGAGAGAGAGAGATTGTATTGAAGACCACAAAATCTGCAGAAAACTCAGACAAGTCTTGGTTTGACGGATTTGTAGTGTTTGATCATCAATTTAAACTGCTTGATGTTCTTGAGTAAATCAGACAAGGCAAAACCCATGTTCCACAAAGATAAGGAATCACATTCACATGGTTTGTCTGTTACCAAATCATCCGACTGATCCGAACAAATGGATCAGTGACATCTGGCAGAAAATTGAGTTTGAACCATGTAGGGAATTATGTCCGGCCAGTGACAACTCTTTAATTACAGAATTGTTTGTACATTTCTGGATGACTTTTGAAAAACAAAACCATGTGCAAATGTGTCCCAGTTCTGCTAGCTGGCTACCCCGACACAAAACTCTCCTACCCATTAGTTCCACCACCTAAAGGATCTATATAAACACATTTCCTCAGTTGGTATTCACAACAAACTCAACTACATCCTCCACACAGGTCTCTCTTTCTTGAATCAACACTTCCTCTAATTCCTAGAGACATTTGAATATGGCAATCAGTATGGGACACATCCTCCGTGGAAAACAAGGCCTCAGAAGGTCTTCTTCAAGAACAAACAGAGATAGTGAGGTTCCCAAGGGTCACTTTGCAGTTTATGTAGGCGAGAGCGAGAAAAAACGCTTTGTCATTCCGGTTGCATACTTGAAAGACAACTCATTCCAAGAATTGCTAAGTCAAGCTGAAGAAGAATTCGGGTTTGATCATCCAACGGGTGGTCTTACAATACCTTGTCCGGAGGACACCTTCATTGACATCATCTCTAGTATGCGTAGATCTTGATAGGCTACATGCCTACATGCAGCGTAGTTTTTAGCCAGTAGAACCGATTTTGATTAGAAAAGCATACTTGTACATTTTGTTTGCTCCTGATCAGACTGAGAAATATAATGTTAAAAATTTTATCATCGACCTTGTCATAAATTGTTACTCATCCTGCAACTATATGAAAAAGGAAGTCATTATTTCAGATCATTCAATGTTTTTTATTCAAACCAGCCTAAGAGTTTTCAAATAATTGTATTCTCAATATAAGATAGCGGAACAAGGAACTGCTCCTAATTAGTACGGAGTAGTATATATAGAAATACGACCCTTACTTGAACAAGGACTGTTCAAGAAGTATTCTAACCATTTACTAGTCCATTCTTGAAAATCATTCTGCTGAGGACAGCCAATTTCTGCCAGCTTTCAGCTAGCTTGATGAATGAAACGTTAATACACTCTAGATATGTACGAAATCAGTTAAATTGCAGATTTTTATGATAAAAATGCACATGGAAGGGTCCCTTAAGGGTTATGAGGTTAAGACCATGTTTAAAGAATATCCCTCTCAGTCTCGGTGGTGTGTTTGGTTTAGCTTCAACCACGTTGCTCCAGTTCCATGGAGCGTTTCAAATTGAATTAGAGAAGGCCAAATCATGTCCTACATAAATGAGGAAACGTATTCACATGGTTTTGTTTCCTAATAAATACCTCTTTTTTAACTGACTGATTCATCTTCATCTCTCATTTGGTAGACTTTTCTTGAGTAGTTGAGCTTTCACAATTTGATTGAATGAAGTGAGGAATGATGTCGTTTACCTACAATGCAGTTGGTAGACATTATTGATGCTTTTTGGAAGAACAAAGCATGTGGTGATGTCAGGAGTGGTTGAGCTATCCTAATTTCATATCCTGCAAGCTGGATGCCCTTCCAAACCAAACTTCTCTAACTTTGTAAAGAATCATATCTATATAAACACATTCCAGTTAATATCCCGACCACTCAACTCAAGGTGTTCCTAGTTTCATACAAACAGAGATTTTGCCTTCAACTAAAACTTCCTACACATATATGGCAATCAGTATGGGACACATCCTCCGTGGTAAACAAGGCCTCAGAAGGTCCTCTTCAAGAACAAACAGAGAGAGTAAGGTTCTTAAGGGTCACTTTGCAGTTTATGTAGGCAAGAGCGAGAAAAAGCGCTTTGTAATTCCGGTTTCATTCCTGAAAGACAGCTCATTCCAAGACTTGCTAAGTCAAGCTGAAGAAGAGTTCGGCTTTGATCATCCCATGGGTGGACTCACAATACCTTGTCTGGAGGATACCTTCATCAACATCATATCTAGTATGAGTAGATCTTGATAGACTTTAGACATCTTAGGTTATATAGTTAATCAGTACAACAATTTTGGTGAGAAAATTACTCATGTACAGAGTTCGATTTTTTTTCCCTGTTGATATTGGAATATACATTTTTATTTTATGAGTACTTTTCATTTATTAGTGATGGTGAACCCTTTCAAGTTGTAGAACAAGAAGTCTAATTAATCAATGTATCTCCAAAGATAAGAAAATTAAGATTCAGCAGAAGTGAATTAAAGCCATTTCTTATGTGTATCTTTCGTTTCTGAAATATAAACTACACTGCAATTTCAAACTACACGAAATGAAGAGTTCTGTGGAATTTGACTAAAGAATGTTCAATTTATTACTAGTATTATCCTTGTACAACCATATTTATCAGGGACAAGTGATTAAGCATTTATTTATGCTGTGTACCTAAGTTTACAATGGTTTACCAGTACTGTTTCCTTTTATTACAATTTATTATAGATCAGGATAGTAAATAAAGCGTGTAGCTTCTTGAATCAAGAAACCACACTGCATTTATTTATAAACTAATAAAATAAAGAGACGAGCAGTGCATATTTTTATACTGCATCTGTTCCATTAATTTCTGAAATGGAGTTTGGAACAAATATAAATGATGCAAAAAATAACTCTGAATTTCAATAAGAACAATATTTGACAGCAAACTAGGTAAGATCTTTCCAACGAGATATTAAACCCTTTCAACGGCACAAAATAGAGCAAGATATGATCGCATCAAATTCTACACGAGTTCGGAGTGAAATCAGAAACATTTGTGAATATATGGTTAATTTGTAACTTTTAATTAATGCATTGTAAATGACGTTGGAACAATATCTTTAGAGCTCCAATCTATCTTTCCAACGAGATATAATAATCTCCAAACGGATAAACACACAGCAAGATATGAGTGTCACAAATACTTAGCCTTATCTCTAAGATTTAGCGTTTTCAGCGAAAATAGAGCACTTTAGCGTAAATACAGTGTATTATAGTAATTAAGCAATCATCCCTTGATATTTTGAAACCAGCGCCTGAAGACAAGTTTTAGAACTCGGTAAGAGATTTCCAAAGAGATATTAAACGCTTTCAACGGCTCAAAATAGAGCAAGATATGATCGCATCAAATTCTACACGAGTTTGGAGTGAAATCAGAAACATTTGTGAATATATGGTTAATCTACAACTTTTAATTAATGCATTGTAAATGAAGTTGGAACAATAGCTTTAGAGCTCCGATCTATCTTTCCAACGAGATATAATACGCTCCGATCTATCTGTATAAAGTTATATGCAATAAATCAGAAATTACATATTTTAGATCAGAATGTAGTTTAAAGAGAAAATATTGATGATTCAAGACTATTTCAATTCTGCAGACTACTGTTCAGTTTATCTAGATAGGCCATAGTGAAACATATAAATATAAACTATTCCCTAAACCAGTACTCTGCAATTATAATTTATACAAAAAAGTGAATTGACATATTTCTTGTATTCAAATCTGCTACATGGATTATATACAACATACTATACTGCAATCGCAGAGAACCTGAATGAAGTTGTCTGTTGAATATTCATCAGTCTAGAACAAACATGTTCATATGCAATAAGTTTTCAGTTATAGATCAAACTGCAAATGAATGAGAAAGCTATTAATAAGTTCAGATCAAAATAATGCTGAGTATATTGAGCTCACAAATTCAAGAAAGTGTATGGTGCATTTTTTGTTTAGGACAGAAATATCTATAAAATCTTATAGTCACAAACTGAATAAGACAATTTTATAACTTAATGAGCCTTTCCGATAATTGAATATGGACATAAAATCTCACTGCTGTACAGTATGCATGACATCTCACTATTGTACACTATGCATGACCTATTGAGCTTCAGCTGATGAGTTCTTCGTTTACAAAAATATGACACTAATATCAGCAAATGGGACATTCTTGATTACTACATCCTTCATGGTGCAGTTTAGGAGAAGCCCACCCGTGCGAAGTAATTGAGATGAGCCATGCATTCTCAAGTTCTCTGAATAAACCTCAGCTCAGAAATGACATGCTGTAAGCCGTGAAAGGTTGAATCACCACAAGGTAGTGTTATAGGCAAATTGCTTGGAAGTCCAATTCCTTCTTCAGTCATTTTCAAAAGTTGCCTAATAATCTCATAGTTGAGATAAGAAAGATGCACAATAAAGTGCTTCTTGTCTACCGTATTGGTATTAGATAGAAATGGACCCTTGCTCACTTAAGAGGAAGAAGCGCAAGTATATGTGTCATTATTTAGTCCGGAAAATGTAACCCCCTTCCTTCAGATGGTCGTGAACTTGCCTTCTCTTTTATAGTCGGATGAGCTTATTGCAACTGATTAAGGAACTAACTAGGAAAAAAGAGAACGATTGAAAGGGAGAGCAGAAAAGCTGTAGAAATCTTAGGTCTTAGTTGGACCAGTTAAATAAAATGTTTGCAGAAAAAAGAAATGCATATGGAAGTTATCTGTTCAAATTTCAAAGTGTTTATAAGGAAAAGGCATGCCCCCTACCCCAGTTCCCACCCTACCCCATCCCTATGGCTATCCCCAAGCCACATCGGTTGCAATTGAAGTCAAAACCATGTTCCACATAAATGAGGAATCACATTCACATGGTTTTGCTTCCGAATAATGTGATTCATCCAAGCAAACGGATTAACATCTGGTTGAGCTTTACCCACAGAGTTGAGGCATGTACTGATGTACGGGATCGTATACAGTCAAAGCTATTAAGTAAGACAGATAATACTACGAATTCTGGATAACCTCTGTAAGACAAAATCATGTGCAAATGTATCCTAATCATGCTAGCTGGCTGCCCACCCACCCTTGAAATCTTTTAGCCACTTATTACACCTCTTAAGGATCTATATAAACACACTTCTTCGGTTGGTACTGCATCCTACACAAAGATCTTAATTTCTTGAATTAGCACTGCCTATACTTTGAAAAGAAACACTTTAAACATGGCCATCAGTTTGGCGCACATTCTTCGTGGTAAACAAGGTCTTAGAAGGTCATCTTCAAAAACAAACAGAGACAATGTGGTTCCTAAGGGTCACTTTGCGGTTTATGTAGGCGAGAACGAAAAGAAGCGTTTTGTCATTCCGATTTCATACTTGAAGGAGCACTCATTTCAAGACTTGCTAACTCAAGCTGAAGAAGAATTCGGGTTTGATCATCCAATGGGAGGACTTACAATACCTTGTCCTGAGGACACCTTCCTTGACATCATCTCAACTCTCTAGTATGAGTAGATCTTTATAGACTACATGCAGCTTAGTTTATAGCTAGTATATTTATTTTTGAAGAGAAAAAGTATACTTGTACATTGATTTTTGTTTTCCAGATCAAATTGAGAAACATAATCCTTAAAACTTAATCAACAATCCTGTATCAATTATATTGCTTACGGTGAACCTATCAAGTGGTATTAATTCTAAAAAGGAAGTCTAACTATTCCAAATCTTTCAAAGGTTATGGAAACTAAGGTTTAGCAGTAAATTACATCATATGCAACCAAAGTGACCTTTATGCAAAAGTTCCAGATCTGAAATTAACAAATGTTGGACATTAAATTAGGTATTCACTCCTTGAACATTGAAACTACACTGTGCGCCCGTACTTTAAGAAAAACTGAAATGAAGATAACTATGGAGGTTCTATTTGTGCACCTTCCTGTTTGATCTACTAAAGGTGAGGCCTTGAGTTCTACCACCACTGCAATTCAAATAGTGAGTAATTCAGGCGAGATAACAACTCAAGGACCAGGCTAATTATTTCCAATCAGAAACTGAGTCAACACAGGAGGACGGGGCTAACAATGCTTGAGTCTATACGTGAGATAAGTAGAAGCAAGAGCTCACCGTGCCAAATTAGGTCGCCGTAGAAAGCCTCCATGGAATTCGTGCGCGTTTGTGATCCCAATAGTCGATGATTCCTGAACTTCCTTTTAGTTCTTAGAATTACTGCTCAGCTTATCTAGATTCGTTCATGGAACGTTTGAACCTTGAATTCAACTGGCCAGTCTAATTTATAAAATTTCCGTATTGAATTTTTAGCACAGCTGCGGATTGCTTAATTCACATTTCCAGTGAGGAAAGTCGAGAGTTGAGGCCGAAAAGAGAAATCTTGCATCCGGTGCCGGGATCCATCTCGATTCTCGGATTTCTCGGTCCCAGAATCTTGGATCAGCAGTATCCCTAGGCGCAATTGCTAGTATCACTACGTACTATCCAGTCTATCCCTATATTATAGTGCTGATCAATAATCTTGTTTTGAATCTCATATTTTAATATGGAGTAAGAATTATTTTTAATTTCCAGTTGAATTCTACTTTTCTTCTCCGTGTAACACACCAACTGATGAATCCAAAGACCAGATCGGCAGCAGGAATATGCAAATAATAGAAGTGGCTGGGAAAGAAAAACAACATCCCGATCCTTGGTATAAAATATCAAATTCAACCAAACCATCATTGTGCTAAGATCTAAATCTCTCTTTATCCAATCAATACCGAAAGTCATTCGATCCCCTCCCTGAAACAAGGTCGGTGAGCTCTTGCTTCTGCTTATCTGATGTATAGACTCAATGATTGTTAGACGTGTTCTACTATGTTGACTCAGTTTTTTATTGGACCTCCAAAGTTATCTTCATTTCAGTTACCATTAAAGTACAAATGCACGGTGTCGTTTCAATGTTCAAAGAATAATCGCTAAAGTTGATACAAGTATCAAAATACCAAAAAACACATAATGAGCCAAAAGTCAAAATAATCGCCGAAAGAGTGAGAGTATAGAGACTATTAGTGACTGAGTCAGCCTGATTGCTTCCAACAAAAATTCTACCTACCAAACAAAACCAACACACATACTCTCCCCCTATTGTACGACAAAATAGTAATACAATAAACAAGTAAGTTCAGACTGAAATGTAAAAGGCAAAAAAGTAAAAATTCAATTGATGGAATTTTCCTGCCCCCCTTGTGAATCCTCCTACCCATTCTTGTGGCGGTTCAGGAGGAGGATAGATCATCCTCATACCTTCTTCTTCCTCCATCACCTAACTCGGAAATTCTCCGTACTACATTATCAATCTATTCTTCGCAATTTGATCTTTGCCTTTACCGGCCAACAAGCAATCCCAGGCACCCACTGAGTCGGCCAAAACAACCGCGTCAATCTCCCAAACAGCCGATTAGAGCCCAAACCCGCGGCTTTTACCGGATCCCAAGCCGACAGTGTTCCACCCGAATCAAACATTGGTGCAACTTCCATCTCAGTGGCCAACAAAGTCAAAATAGCCAAACCAAGTATCGGATAATCAGTCCTCGCAACCCTAGCCAAAGCAAGTCCACGGCCACATCTGAACCCGCTAACGACTCTCATGGCTTCTTGTGATCGACAAAACTGTTGCCGCGTCTTTGGGATACTCCTCGCTCTGTCGGCCGCTACCTGTCGCTGGTTCTTTGTGACCTTCGTCTGTCACTCTCCGTGTCACACCGAATTCATACGAGCACCGCCGATCTACTTCGCACTTCCTCACATCGAAGGCTGGACAATCCTCTTCAATTGCTTGCTTGCAGTTTTCCAAACAGTGGAAACCGTCAGACCCAAACTCTTTGTGGACCGGGAAACCCAGCCGCTCCTCTCCGCTTCGTCTCTTTACTTTAAGTAATTATTATACCTGCGATGCACGGGAAAATATAAAATGTATTTCACATATGATAAAGTAAGTTTTTGAACTGTAAGAATTTAATTTATTGAATTGTAGAAGTTTTTGAAATTTATTAACTTCCCACACAAGAACTTAATTATCATAATATAATGATATGATGTAACAAAAAAATAATGATATGAACTATAAATATAAATGATAGAGAAAAATCTAAGAAATAAAATATTTTTACAATAAAAGTATATTAAAAGATGAAAGTCATTAATGTTTCACAAATTTAAAAAATACTTTGTTACATACAATATTAGTTGTTGCATTAATACTTTTTTCATCTTTGTCACTGATGGAGTATATGGGTCTGAGCCCCAGGACCCACATACTCGGAAGAACAAAAAGCACAAGACAACAGAGTGGCGCCCTCGTCGGCCAAGACGCCCCCGTCGGCCGAAAAGGAGCCAACTCGGATTATGGTCCTGAGTCCAAGGAACCCGGGTGCCCTCGTCGGCCGTGCCCTCGTCGGCCGTGCCCTCGTCGGCTGTGCCCTCGTCGGCCACGCCCTCGTCGGCCACGAAGACCTCACAGAATCGGATTTTATACTTACTCATTTGTATAGCCTATTAGTGGCTTTGTATTCGGCCCAGTAGCGGTCCAGTTGTAAATGGGCCTCCCAAGCCCAAGGCTTGGGAGCCCAACCCTAATTTTCTCTATAAATACTCCCTTTGGGAGTAGTTATGGGGGTTACGAAATCATTCTATTGAAGCATATTATTGCACTTCTCTCTCTAGCTCTCACTTCTCTCTAGATATACTCTATCATTTGGTGCTCTCGTTGAGAGCTAGAACAATCAAGTTAGCACCCTTCGTCGCTACCAAGCACAGCTAACCACTGATCATGGGGAGAACTAAGTCAAACCGCAACCTCGTCAGCAAAGTCATCCCTGAGGACCAAGAGCCCACGGAGCACGATGAGGACGCCACGGCCGACCAGGTCGGCGGAGGGGACCTCTTCCAGGAGGCCTTCAACCTCACGACGGACCTCCGCAACCAACTCAACGGCGGAGTCCCCGACGCCCGCCTCGGCCTGGAAAAGAAACGAGCTGAGAAAGCGGACCACGCCCCGGCCCAGCCTATGGCCGCGGCCTCCCCGTCCGTAGATCCTCAGGTCCAGGCCGCACTATCGGCTATCATCGCCAGCTTGGCTCAGAATCCCACCGTCCTCAGCGCACTCTTGCCAAGGACCGGGGGAAACGTCACTCCACCTCCTCATCCCCAACCGTTGGCCATCCAGATAGGCAACAATGAGGGGGTTGTGGCTCAGGACACGGCATCGTCCCACTCCCACCCTGCTTCCCCCCTTCGGCCCGGGCAGACCCCAGCGCGTGGAAAAGCCTCTGCCTTCAACAGGCTAGGTGACACGCGCCGTCGTCCGGTTTCGGAGAGGATGGCGGGACGGATTGGTGATCTTCGTCCTGGCTCGCCAAGGGAAAGTTTGGGGTCTGTGTCCCGGACAGCGGACCAGCCCCGCCCGGACAAGGGCAAGGGGAAGTTGCACGAGGATGACGTGCGTCACCAGATCAACGCGGCCCACAACGAGCGCCTGAGGAACCAGCCGGGCGCCGCTGCGGCCGATAGGGACCCCCGGGACGAGGTCATCGCCCAGCTGGAGAGGAGGCTGGCTCAGATGGAGGCCAAGCAGTCGGCCAACATCCCTACGGCCGGCGCCTCTAACGAACCCGGCCTCAACGCGCTCATGAACAAAGTTAGCGCCCTGGAGAGGGAGCTGGCCGAAGGGCGGGGTGACCCCATCATCCAGGTCAGGACGAGGACCCCTTTCACCAACAGGGTCCTCTCGGCCCCCATCCCTGAGAAGTACAGGGGGAACGCCATCAAGTCCTACGATGGCCGATCAGACCCCCAGGAGCACTTCAGCCGTTACCAAAACAACATGCTGATGGTGAACGCGTCCGACGAATACCTCTGCCGGTGGTTCCTCTCTACTCTCGAGGGGCCAGCGTACGAGTGGTTCAACGGACTGCCAGAAGGAAGCATCGACTCATGGCAGGATCTCGCCCAGCGCTTCCTCACTCACTTTGCCGGGAGGAAGCGCCCCAAGAAGTATTTCACCCACCTCCTCTCCGTCAAGCAGCAGCACGAGGAGTCCCTCCGGTCATTCATCGATCGGTGGACGAGGGAGACCGAGGAGGTCGAGGGGGCCGATGAGCGCACCCTCCTCGCCTTGTACCAGGGAGCCCTCCGCAGCTCCCCGTACGCCAGGAGCCTCATCACTGACCCCCCGAGGTCGTATGCCAAGGCTCTCCAACGCGGAGGCTTATATGCCGACGCCGACGAGCTCCACAATCACAAGAGAGAGGGGGGCCATCCCCCCAAGAAGACAAATCCTTCGCCGGCCCCGGGTCCGTCCCCGGCCGGCCAGGGTGCCCAGGGCCGCCACGGCTCTGGTGGACAGAGTAAGAAAGACCGCCACTGGCGGCCGAGGCTGGAACGGACGGGGGTAACCCTCACCCACCCGGTCGGCACCATCCTCGATTATGCCGAGAAGCACGGCCTCATCGAGCAGGCTCCTCGGCCGGCCGAGGAGATCCTTGCCATCCAGCAGGGCGGCACGTACTGCCGGTTCCACAAGAACTCGTCGCACAACACCGACGATTGCATCACATTGAAGAAGGCCATCGAGCGCCTTATTCGCCAGGGGGAACTCTCCCAGTTTGTCAGAGGTGGCCCACGCAAGAACACTTGGGTAAACACCGGCAAACATGGGGGCGAACCCTCTGCGAAGAAGCGGGAGATTGGTAGACTCAGCGACGACGAGGACTTCGAAGAGCCTCCGCCGAAGAAGAATCACATCCACCTCATCGTAGGTGGAAATACTGGGGGGACTCCGCCACTCAGAGAAAGAAATGGGCCCAATCCCTTTACATTGGGGAGGTGTCCCACGTCCCCCCCAGCCGAAGAAGCAGCGAACGGAGGCGATCACCTTCACCGACAAGGATCTGCCTCCAGGTACGGAGTCACACAGGGACGCCCTCGTCATCCGATGTGAGATCGGTGACTCCATCATCCACCGTACTTACATCGATACGGGGAGCTCCGTCAACGTGATGTACCTAGACACCTTCAAGCAATTGAAGCTGGACAGAGCTTTGCTGAAGCCGATCAAGACCCCGTTATCCGGCTTCACCGGGGACTCTATCGACGCCGAGGGCACGATAGTCCTCCCCGTGGAAGTCGGTGACGGCCCCCACCACGCCAAAATTGACATGGAGTTCATGGTGGTCAACCTCCGGTGCGCCCACAACCTGATCTTGGGCCGACCAGCGCTGGAGGACTTGGAGGCCATCATCTCCATGAAGCACTTATGTTTGAAGTTCCCCACCAATGACGGCATCGGCTACGCCAGAGGAAATCAGAGGATAGCCAGAGCTTGCTACCTCAAGCTAACAAGGCCGGCCGAAAGGGAAGGACAGAGGATAGACACCATTACGGCCGCCGTCGCCATGGACGAGGAGAGGCCACATGCGGAGCCGGCCGAGGAGGTCGAGGAAATCCCTCTGGATACCTCCTGGCCGGAGCGGGTTCTCAGGGTCGGAAAGCAACTCCCCCAGGACCAACGAGACGCCATCCTCCTCGTCCTACGGTCATACGCCGTTGTCTTCGCGTGGGGCCCGGACGATATGCCAGGCATCAGCCGCCAGGTGATCACTCACCGGCTGACCGTCGATCCGGCCTCCGCGCCTGTCAAACAGAAGCGGCGCTACTTGTCCGCCGACAGGCGGGATTTCGTCAAAGGGGAGGTCGCCATGCTCCTCTCAATCAGACACATCAAAGAGGTGAAGTACCCGACATGGTTGGCCAACGTCGTCCTCGCACAAAAACCGCCGACGTTCAGAATGTGTGTTGACTACACTGACCTGAACAAGGCGTGCCCCATGGA